CTTTGAGGAGGTGAATTAAAATTAAAAAAAAAAAAAAAAATTAGTTTAAAATTCCTAAAGGTTTATAAGATAGTAAAAAAAAAAAAAAAAATTAAGTCAGTCTCAGATTTAAAGTGTCACGCTAGACTAGTAAAAATTAGTATGCATGACGAAAAAATGAATAAAATTGATCAACTTTTTTTTATGTGTAAAAACGTGTCGTCATTAAACAAGCGTCAATAACCTCGACAAGATCATTCATTCAAAAGTTTAAAAAAAACTTTTTTAAAAAATTTTTATTCTCGAGCTCAGATTTTTCAATATGTTTAATAAATTATTTTATTAATTTATTTTTATTATTCAAAAACTCTTTATTTAGGTTTTTGCTGTTTATATTAAGTTAGGAAAGTTACAAAGAAATTCGCATATTAATAAATATAATTTAAAATAAATTAATAACGTTTTTATAATAAAAGATTTATAAATACTTTTAGTAAAATAAATCAGCTAGTAAAGTAAACCAAAGATAACAACGAAAATAATCAAAAATAAAACTTGCAATTAAACATATTATCTATGTTATATTTGCGTAAAACATAAAAGAAGATAATTAAATAATATTATAATATTAATAATTATTAGCCAATATTTATAAATACAAAATTTTTTTTAAAAATTTACAACTACAAACATTACTTAGATATTTAATGTATATTTGTAAATTAAAAAAATAATAATAATTTTGTATTTAAATATATTTTTTATTTAAATACCTAATTTACTAGATATTTAAATATGTCAATTAAATTTTTAAGTATTTAAATAGTTATATATTCAAATATATTTCTTCAGAACTAATTGTTTAAACTTGTATTTAAAAAGTTATGTACGCAATCAAAATAGATCAAGGTTTCAATGAAATTTAATAATTTTTTCATTAAAACTGCAAGCAATTGTCTTTGGTTCTTGTTTTCTCTCTACTATACTGCAGCCATTTTTCAAAAGGCCTTTAGGTAAAAAAAATCAATTGTGACATTTTTACAAAATATGCTAGTTTAGATGTTAAAAAAACGTTATTGAACACATATTTTCAAAAAGTTCTAAAAAAATTCATAAAAATTACATGCTTCAAAAAGCGTTTTGCAAAGAGTTTCTCTTAATAATTTTTTTTAATTGCGCTTTTCTCGAAATACGTAATAAGCATATTAAGGCGTTTTGAAAAACGGCTGCAGTATATCAAAAACAAAGAAAAGAAGCGATTTAAATGAAAACTTTAGAAGATCATTCATAATGAAACCAGTTGATTAATTAAAATTAAACATATATAAAGTAGAAAAATAATCCTGCTGTAAATATAACTGTAAGGACCTTTTTTTTTTTTTTTTTTTTTTAACAGCACCTAAATTACATTATCTCCTTCTCCTCAAATCTTAAATATCTTAGTTAAAGCTTCTTTTCTTTTTTCTGTATTTTTGTTGCAAAGCATGGCTTATAAAATGGCTTCAGAATCATCGCTGATCGCCTAATCGTTGACATAACAATATCTAAAACATTTTTATTCTGTGTTTAAAGTAGCTCTAGTTGGGACAAAACATGTCTAGGTACTCAATTTTAAACTTTTCTACAAAAATACTATAAAAATTTTTAATTCGACCTAATAGTTGAAACTATACAAATATATATATATATATATATATATATATATATATATATATAATATATATATATATAAACAGCTACCTTTTTTTTCTTTATCAACGCTACTTTTTGTTGTTGTTTTACCATAAAAATTGACACACCTTAATGTATGTCTTTATTAAGATGTAATTCATATATTTATAAATATATATGTCAATTATAAAATATGTATATCATTTTTGATTTTGAAATATGTATATCATTTAGATTTAACAATTTTTATCTTTAAGCATGAACACAAAAAATAACTTGTTTAAAAAATGATAAAAAGTATTTTTTTTTTTCCACTCCCAACAAGGCTGCAAGCAACCACTATTAAGTTGGGAGTTACTAGAAAAAAATAAGAGTTATAGAGCAAGGAAATGGTTGACAGAAGACTTAAAAAGTTGAAGGTTGTTTGAATCAAGAAAACATGAAAATGGGAGAGGGTTCCAAAGGGTTGAAGTGCAGGGAAACTAGATGAATAAAAGTTTTTAAAGCATACAGTAAAACAATGAGACTTTGATGAATGACGAGTCATGCGAGAATGAGTTTTAGTTGATGGAACTAGAAATAATGGCTCCTTTGAGCAGCGACATTGATAGTATTTGTAAAAAAGAGAAAGACATGCAACTTTACAACAATGGGAAAGAGGCTCAAGCTTAGCAAAGAGACCGGGCCCAACAACATTTACAATGCGTTTTTGGACCTTGTCTAGAAGAGAAAGAGCATCATTAGAAGAATCAGCCCAAATATGACAACAGTATTCCATACAGGAACGAAATTTATTTAGAAAAGAGATTTGTAGAGGTGGAGAATGAAATCAGGAGAGAAAAAATGACAAGCACAATAAAGAGATGCAATTTTAGCAGATGCTAATTTAGCAATCGAATGTATATATGGTTTCTATGAAAGGTCAGTAGTAAATGATAATCCAAGAAGATGTAAAGAAGAGGACTCAGTAAGAGGGTTGCCATTCATTAATATAGGAATATCAACAGTACTACGATAGTTGTTTGTAGTAAATAACTGTGTTTTGTTGGAGTTAAAATTTACGAGCCACTGTGAACCCCAATCTGTTAAATAAGTTATTTCTTTCCTCACAACACTTGCAACATCTTTTCTGTTTTTCTTCTTAGTTACTTGTTCTAGAATATAAGTGTTTTTTTTAATTTCTAATCAAAGCTTTTTTTTTAGCAATATATTATCATAATTATTTTTGAGAGTAGCAATGAAGCTGAAGGTACATTGAGTACATTAACTAAATTGTTAAATGATCATAATTATCACTGACAACATTTTCATTTCGATTGTTAGAAATATGTTCAATTAACTCAATTGATCTAGTTTTGGTTTTTTTACTAATTTATCAAATATTCCAAAAACATATATTTTTGAGACAACTCTAACCCTTTTTTTTTAATTTAAGTGCCCCAAGGAGTCTTTACAGTCTTATCACAGAGCACTGCAGAAGAGCATTTAACAGAAAATTCATGCCTCGTTTCTAGCCGATGTTGCAAAACTTGCCCACAGCTCATTTCAGAAATGCATCACAGCTGCTCATATGAAATGAGCATAACAGGTGTTCAATGAAATTTTGTGAGAAAAAAAATAAACTGCAATTAATAAAAAAAAAAAAAAAAATTGCAATTAATAAAAAAATTTGCATAATACAAATTAAAAAGGTATTAATTTATTAGTTTCAATATTAAGTTTTTATTATCAGTCTGTTAGTTCAGATTTGTATGACTCGAAGTTGAAATGACTTTTGTCTTTTAGAAGGTCCTTGTTGACTTTCTTAAGGTGAATATTTATCCCATTACAAAGTTGTTTCAGATTTTTTTGCCCCTTTACATAAACCATTCCTTTTTGAATACTCTAAAAATCCTTAATTAGGTGAAATATGATATTTAGCAAGCATTTGACCACATAATATATGGAATTATCTTCAAAGAATGACACCACTACACAGTGGGACAGAGATTGGCATAAGTGCTAAAAATTAGTATTTGTGAAAACTTCTTTTTTGCAAAAATTTAAAAGTAAATACCCCACAATAAAAATATGTTGTTTGAGTATTTTCATTTTTGCTTTAGGAGTCCTGGGAAAGTTTTCAAGCTAGTCCATTTAAAAAAATTTAAAATTAAAAAAAAAAAAACTCATAAAATTGAATTTCATTGCGTTGTTAAAAATACTCAATGAATTTGTAAAGGCTCCTGAGAAATCCATTCTTGTCTTTATACACAAATTAGGGTTTGATGGTTCAACCAGTCCATTACAGCATGGTACGATTTCAATATGTAAAAGAAAGTGCTGAGTTTTTTACAAAAGAATATATTTCCTTTAAGAACAGTAATTTGAAACCAACAGTCTTTAATTCTTTTATTATCAAACATAAGATAAAATGCACAATGATTAATGGAAAAGTGGCTTTTAAAGTATTGCCTTTAAGTGATTCTTTTCAAATATGTAGTATTTGTGGACTGACCACTTCAAATATGAATCTATATGCTGCTTTTTCAAAAATCTCTAACACAGTTTCCACTGAGCTTGGGTTGAGCATTACTTTTTGAGCATAAACTTTTAATGTAATTTTTTTTAAATTTAAAGTTATGTATATTTTTACTCTGATTTCAGATAAAATATCTAAAAAAATCAAATCTTTTACGCTGGTTACTATAAAAATAAATGTTTCTTTGTTTATAAAAAGGTCTAACACATAACAAACATTTTAATTAATGCTTTGAATCTGGGAAAACTGTTTCTAAAAACAACCAAAAGTAATGTCTAAAAACCCTAACATCTTATACTCCCTTTTCTATTAGAGTGTTCAGGTTGCCTGCATCTGCAAAAAAAACAAAAAAACAATTATTTTTAAAAAAAGATCTTCATGATGACTAGAGTCATTGATAAAAATTTCAATCTGAAAACTTTAAAAGTTTAAAACTTTTTTTATTTTTTGATTATTTAATGTCGATCTTGGCACACTGTGTTTTGACATAATGTATAATAATTTATTATTATGATGTTGTTTAATAAATGGCACAACATTTTCTGCATGCTATGTTATATTTGTCTGCTATGTATAATTTTTTTAATGAATGATAACTCTATCATGGTTATTTTTTCTGATTTGACCCATGCATGGTGTAAGCTTTTTAAGCTTTTTTGAAGGGTTTCTAATTAAATAATGAATTTCTTCATAATATTCCCTTATAAATTCTAATAAAAATCTTTGATTTTGCAATAGCAATTTCAAGACAGTAAAAGATACTTACAAACATAATTTAAAGACTGTAAAAGATACTTACAAACATAATTTAAAGACTGTAAAAGATACTTACAAACAAAAGAGACAAATCAAAACTTATTAAAGATTTTTGTTTAGAACCTAATAACTTCCTCTATGAAAAACTAAAAAAAAAAATCTAGAGCTGATATGAAAATTAAAATGTTTTAAAATATAACAAGTCAAATAATTAGGTTTATTAAAATATGACATTCTTTCATTTTCTTAAGTACTAAAATTTATTCAAGACTCTTACAAACTATTAAAATAAATAAAAATTTGAACAAATAATAAGAAAATATACATACTTTAATATACTCAAGTTTTAAAAACTCTGCCATATCATGATTTTTACAAACTCGAAAAATAACAGTAATTATATCAACAGCAGAATAACCTAATCTCCATAAGTGAGCCATGACTTTATAAGCTTCATCAATATTTGACAATATACAGTGATTTAACATTTCTTTGATGAGAATTGGATGTGGTTCATCACACACCTAAGTATAAAAAACTGACAAACTAAAAATATATAATATGTTTTTAAATACAGTAAATAGATATAATTTTTTGTGAATCTAGAGGGTACACTATTAAATCGAAACTTTAAATTAAATGAGTTATGGAGGAGGCTACACCCCTTTCTTCTCCCCTTCTCCAAACTCAATAATTTTAAAATACAAACTTTGACAAGACTATTTCTTGAAAAAAAAAAAAACTTAAAAAAAACCTGAAATATATTTAACTAATAATTGATATCAGCATATTGTATATTGACTCAAGAAAAAAAAAAGAATTTACTTTTGAATATAAAAATCTAATTTAATTATTATTATTTATATTTAATTATTATATAAATTTTAACTGTGAAGAATTACTTAAACTTAAACTCAAATATTAAAAATTTTATTTGATTATACAATAATATAGTGATAGCATTAAATTTTATTTGATTATACAATAATATAGTGATAGCATTAAATTTTATTTGATTATAAAATAATATAGTGATCGCATTAAATTTTATTTGATTATACAATAATATAGTGATAGGATTAAATTTTTTTTGATTATACATATAAATAATATAGTGATAGCATTAAATCTTATTTGATTATACAATAATATAGTGATAGCATTAAATTTTATTTGATTATAAAATAATATAGTGATCGCATTAAATTTTATTTGATTATACAATAATATAGTGATAGCATTAAACTTTATTTGATTATACATAGAAATAATATAGTGATAGCATTAAATTTTATTTGATTATACAATAATATAGTGATAGCATTAAATTACACTAAACAAATTCTCTGTAATAATTTCTTTAAAAAGTTATTTCTATTTGAAAATATTTTAAATAATATTTAATATGCAATTTTAATGTGAAAACAATGCAGGTAAGATAAATTAGAAAGATGGAGGCAAGAGAAAGAATCCTTCAAAATGAAGTGGGCACTCTAATTAAGATTAATCTTAGATTTAAGCAACTTGATTAAAAAAAGAAGACTAAATGGTTAGAAAGTATGATAAAGTCTTTTTTTATTAACTCTTTCTACACAACTACATGGTATAAAGTCTTTTTACATCAACTCTTTCTACACAACTAGTTGGATTGAAAAAATATTGTGCTAGTAAAAATAAAAATAAAGCAAAAAAAGTATAGGCTTGTATGCAGCTTGGTTTAAAAGTGACTTCCCTCAGCTGGGAATCAAAAAACAAGAGTTAGAACCTTTGACAATCAGCGGAGGTGGTTGTATTAGGCATCCTATCTTTTTTAAGTAAAAAAAAAAAAAAAAAAATGATAAAATAATTCTTTCATATTTTCACCTGAAATTTACAAAAAATTAAAAATAGTCATTGAACATAAAACATTTTTGAATCAACAAACAAAAAACTGACCTTAAAAACATTTTCTGGATTTATAAATCCAAACCCAGTATGCGTCGATTGGAGATTGTTAATTGCCTCAAAAAAAAATCATTATATTATAAACTCTCTGTGAATCTTGAATAAATTCTAGATTAACTATAACTTGAATAATAAATGAATCTATTGAAATTCACTGATTATAATAATAAATATGTCTATTGAAGTTCACTAATTATAACATGAAGTTTTAAAGACAAAAGCTACAAAAATAAATGAACCGAGAAATTATTATTAAAAAAAAAAAATAACATTGACCTTTAGATATTTTTATCTAATATTTGAATAAATATAGCATTTAAAATATATAATATTAGTAAATAACATATTTGCCAAATAAATAAAATATTTGAATATTTGTTAGCTATTTTTTATAAAATAAGTTAAATCTCAATAAATTGATATTAAATTATATACAAAATTATTTGGGGTAGGCGAGTTTCATAACCCTGGTAAGATAACCTAGAAGAAGAAAAACTATGACACAAAACACCCACTTTAATTTTTGGGTAAGAGTACAAGAAGCTGGTTAACCTTGAAAGCTAATTATCCTAGTAGTAATATCACAACAAAAATACTCAGTACTGATCTAAAACAGGTCAACGCCATTAAGT